TTTAAATTAGTAACACATGTTTTAAACCAGGCAATAAGCTGTCAAGTCCTCAAAATATATATTTGTATGTGACTGATGGTGATTATTTGTTAACTGATCATAATTACATTTATTTAGCAATTTAGTAATAAAACAGTTACTCCTCAACACTGATGCCACACATGTAACTGTCCTCATTTGTTTCCCTTCTCTGTCTGCAGGCCACTGAGGTGTTGAACAAGTCGCGAGGTGCAGGTGCCACTGCACAGAAGAAATCCAGTTAGAGGACCTCTGGACCCTCGTAATCTGATGCAATGCTACGGGCACACAACACAAGCACACATTCAGCACTAAAGCCTTATCATGCCTCCCATTGGAACGAACATGCAGCTCAACCACACCGGCACCAACATGATGCCGATCCACCGGCATCTTTATTCAGACAAAGTCCAGGCTGATATAAAGGTGACTGGAGGCGGGGAGTTAAACCATCCCAACCCCCTCTTATTGACTCTACATGTCTTCAAATTGACACTGCCATCATTTTACAAGTTAACAATTGGTCTTAATAGACAAGTCTATGTTTACCTTATAAAACACTCACTTGGTTGTATATTGTTCAAACAGGGGTAGTCAGGGTGATTTTCAAACAAAGCTTCTGCAGTATATCTTAATACCGTTAAAACAAAAATGCTGGCTTTAAAGCTTATACATTTATACATATTTTCTTCGTGGCTATATTTTTTTACTTTGTGGCCTTAAACACATTCCATTCTGTTTGTAGATTTGCTTTATATTTGATATTAATGAGCATTTCTAGAAGAGTGAACTGTCACTACTTTGAAAGGAGAAGAGGATACGCACTTTATGCATAGTTTACTAGATTTTGAAAGCTGCATGTAATGGGATGTCAGCTGAATCTCAAGTGCTTTGCTGCTTATTTCTTGATGGGCATGTTACATTTTGTACATTTTGATACTCTATATTAGACTCTTCTAGCAAAATTATATATAGGAAATTCTATGCTGCAATATTTTCCAACTCCAAAGAAAATACATTATTGGAATAATAATAAAAGGTGGTGATTGCACAACTATGTAAAACTAGCCAAAGAGTAAATTATACTATATACTGTAGCACTACAATGAACTGTCACTCAAATATGGACAGTGTTAAACAAACTGGAACAAATAAAAAGAAGGATGTTTAAACAGACAGAAAGTAATCAGAAAGCACAGACCTCCACCAAGGCCAGATGTACTATCAATGTTCACAAAAGTAAAACATAATGCATGTCTCTGCCCCATTATTTAGACCGGCTCCAGAATTTAACAGATTATTCCTCGTCCCATACCACACCATTCCACCAGTTTTTGTGATCTTGCTAAAACAAACAAGAAAGGAAAACATAACCTCCTAATCAGCACTTAGACAGATGATGTCTGCTCATATCTGAAGTTTACAAAAATCCTTAACATGTAGCCATGCGTGTACCTCGGGAGATATTTCCTGATGTTACTTCTTTAATGTAGCCTCAGCTCCACAACACGCTCTGTGATCACTGTGATGCATTCTGCCAGTTGGTGATCTGGCTGCAGCTAAAAGGGACATTACAACTATTTCACAGCTACTCATCCTCTGAATAGTCTCTGGTAAACTCTCAAGTCAATCTTTGTCAATGATTTTATTGTTAAATGAATCATTGACAAATAATAAAACCACATCTCTTAAAAGTAAAATAATAGTTGTGTATATGTTTTTAGAGTCCTTTGTTTACCTGCAGTCATTTAACCAGCAGTTTCCGAAGAGCAGTCATACATCATGAAAGAGGTCGACAGTGGAATAATTAGCTTTTAGTGTTCCTTTGAAAGGCCAAGCAGGCAAATTCAGACAGATTCAACTATGCCCTACATCGTTGAATATAAGAGTCAGATTCTTTCAGCAACATTGGATTGGAAAAGTGGAATTAGAAGGATTAAATATTGTAAAATAGGTCTCTCTTAAATGCCTGAGAGCAAAAGAAGGATAATTTCATCTAAAATAAAAAGCATATTTCTCTTGCTCAAACACAAAATGTAAAAGATGATCATTACAAATGCTCTAATCTCAGTGATTACATACTGTAGCTCTTATGATCACTTGGCAAAAAAAGAAATGTGGAAATTGGAAGGATGATGATCTTTGACCATCATTTTGCACATTCCATTTCTGTCCCTCTCGACAACAGGAGGACACATGTTTCACAAGCACTTTCTATTTCACTTCCCTCCTCTTTGGTTATGTTTGCAGAACAGCTCATTCAAAAGGGGATAATGCATGCACTGTTACGGCTAATGTAATCATCTTGTGTGGGGTATGGTGGCCTTGACTTGAGAAATGCTGTTTTCTAAAGAATAAACAAAGCTTCAAACTGTTAATGCACCTTTTCAATCTGTTCCCTTCACTGTTTTTATTTTTGAAAAGTGGTCGTAAAATCTGTACATATTTTACCTTTTGGGCAGTTTCAGACGAGAAGCACTTTTTTATTGCAACAACACAGAATATTATTTCTGATTCCACATATATTTTACAAAACTTGACTTCTATTGATTTAATGTAAATCAGATTTTTCAGATTGCATTTTAATATCAGTCTTAGAAAATATTAAATCAGATTAGATTACAGTTTATAATAATTGATGATATATATGTGTTACAGTTGAATGAATGTAATATCTCATAAACCATCAACTACTTCATAGTATGAAATGTAATACTGCCTACTGTAACTGCTGCACATACTCTAGTCTATATCTTAGCATAATTATATATAACCCTTTTTGTTTATTTTCTAAATATTATGTTTTTATATATTAGGCTACTCTGCACTTAACTGCTTCTTGCACCTCTAATAAGATGCTAACAATGAGTTTAATGTCTGGGTGCTGTGTTATCTAATATGTACTGTAGGATGTGCGAAATTAGTGCAAAAATAAGATTTTGAACACTTGAACAGTTCATATTCTGTCAGCTAAAATGTAAACTATGTTGTGAATGTAGATAATACTGAATGACTTAGCATTCAAACTTGTTAGCGCAGTTCAAAGTGCTTAACAGACTATGCTAATGCAGATAGAAAATGGATTCAAAAGCTACAATAACAGTAATTGTACTAAAACAGAGTAAACAATTGTTTAAAATATACACTCCCTTGCCACTCTATTAGGTAGATCTATACATGTTGGTGCAATCAAATACTACATAACTGCCCCAAATTCTCCATTCAGAAATATTATATTGTTTGCAGGAGGTGTTATTTTTTACAATGTTTACTCATGTCACAGTTAGTGGTGGTGTTGAACTAGTCTGCTCTGTATTATAATGTTTCTAATATACACCCCCCCCCCCCCCCCCACCCTCTCTTCTTCTTCTTCTTCTTCTCAATATATTGAATATATTGTTGTCCAGTAGGCCTACATCAAAGCTGAAAGCTACATCCTTAATAATAATCATTAAATAATAAATAGTGTCAAAACTGATCATTATTAAATGTTTAATGACAATGGCTGAACTGTTATATTGAATTGCATTAGATTTTACCTTTCTTTATAGTCTATGGATTTTATAATTTACCTAAGAAAGTGGCCACTGAGTGTATTTCAATTCATTTGTTTTATTTATTTATTTAGTGCTTTTTTGGTCCGTAACGAATGTGGGTCATATTTAGCCGGCTTTGTGTTTACTACCATATCGCCACACACGCAAACAAGAAAACAACAGCTCTGTCTCAGAAGGATTGACCTCAGCTGTGACGTCATAGCGTATATATATCATTTTATTCTCCGGAGAAAAGTAAATGGACCGCATTTAAAAATGTGTGTATTCAGCTCCCTGCTTGATGTGCCATCATCACTGTCCCTGTCATCCTCACACTGGCCCTCTGTCTCTCTTTCTCTCCCCGCTTCAACGCGATGCCGTGTATAAAAATCTGCTACAGCGGATTTCGTGTCCCTTGTTTCCTTATATGGTGATCAGCGTCGCGGGCCGACCCTCCTCGCGCTGTGAGCGAGGCGCGTGCACTGGCCGTTCACCGTTCACTTCCTTATTTGGAAGTGAGTCCAACAAAAACCGCAGGGAGGGGAGGGAAGAGAGAGGAGGGAGGGGGGAGAGAGGGGGATGGATGGCGGAGAATTTCCTCCCATCCTGAAAACCGCTTTGCGCCTGGCTGGCTGCTGAATGTTGGTTAAAACAGCAGCAGCACAATGGCTTTACTTATTAATCGCTCCTCACGCCATTGGTGTCATAATTAATAGGATTCATGTCCTTGAAACCATAAATTACAGCGTAAATCACAATAATGTCTACATTTAAACGTTGAGTGAAAAGTCATGGTTTATGTAGCTATTAATGTATGCTACGATACAAAACAAAACAATAAGAGTATAGCTGCTTTCAAAAGGTGTGGTCCGATTAACGGCATCATAATCCTTATCGCAATTTTATAAATCCAACACTAATTTAGCACACTTACATCATTTTATAATTTTATACATCAGCTGTTATAAGGGAGTTGTTGGTTTATTCATAAACTACACATACAAACACATATTCCCATCATTCTCTTCGCTAACCATTTGGTGCGTTTGATTTGCTCACCTTTGCTGGCCGCTACCGCCAAAACAAATACATATAATAAAGGAAATAGCAAAGGAATTATGATAAATGAAATGAGAAGAAAACAGGATAAAAAAATTATTTATCTCATACGATTTTCAGTTGTGTAATGTTCAATACAAGTGACAAAGAAAATATAAAAATGTAGCCTATCTGAGAATATTTCTTGGAGGGATTGTTGATGATTAGCTATATTTCCTGTTTATTAGTGTATGTCATATACTGAACTGAAGTGAATAAATAATAATAATAAATAATTAAGCCCTCCTTGTGTTATCACATGTAGCAAAATATCAATTCATCAGTAAACACGTAGCAGCAAAAAACCCCGCCGGATAACCAGGGGTGACAGACATGCGCTCCTGCTCCTGCTCGTGCACTTTGCTCGGGCTTATAAGCGCGTTCACATTGGGTATCCAGTGTGTGAGCGAGACCGACGATTCATCATCACAGTCCATTCAGTTTCCAGAGTGACGCTGACCTACTCAGAGCTTCACCATGGTAGGTTCAACTGCGACTTCATCTCTCTTTATGTACTATAGGAGCTTATACTGATCAATAGAGATGTATTCTCTAGATATGACGATGGTTGTGGTTATGTTTCTTATTTAATTTGTAGATGATGGTTTTGGGTTTAGCATCAGACGTAGCAAGCCGGTTCTGTGCCGCAGGAACTGCTGCTAGCGCCGGGGCTAGGCAGGAACAAGAGGCGGTGCGAGAGGCTTGACCGCCAACAAAGCTTTCATACAGCCGGGAAGAGCTGCATTTTAACACTCTGTTGATTTTAATCTGCATTAGTTTATTGATGAGCGTGTTAAAACACCGGAAATATGAAAAAATGTCCAAAACAACTGGCGCCATTTCATCTCTCCGTGTTCCCCGGACACAAAGCGGCCGGGGCCTGCTCTGTGTTAACGGCTCATCGTTGTCATGACGCTGGTCTCGGTGTCTCCTGCATCATGTTTCCGTAACTTCACCTCCTCGAGGCTTCCGAGCCGAGCTGGCAGGTGCATCTGCGCCCCGGGGCTAACCTAGCTAACGGTATTGTTAGCTGAACTAGCTGCGTTAGCAGAGGCAGAGAATGACACCCATTATGGCTGGCGGTGTCTGAGATTTTCTTGTTCTTTGTCTGTACACGGCTCTCTAGTCAACATATTTTTTTTTAGACGCTGCTTGTCTGCTTGCTCCACATTAGCTCAGCATTCGCCCACAATGACACTACATTGGTCATTTGTAGGTGTATGGCTGAGATGCTGTGTGACAGTTAATGTGTGAATTGACAAACGTTTGAGCAGAGCTTTTGCCTTATATAGCAAGCTAGCGCACACGTGCGTGTGCTGCATTCATGGCCCCACCCTGAATTTGGTGCAAAGACCATTTTGTTCGCTGATGTGTTTTTAAGGGATCTGCCATAACTTTTAACTTCCTGCTGTATCCATATAAGATTTTGTCCATGTATCTATAAGGATGTAGTACATATTTGACGGAATTGTGCCCATTATTTAAGGGCAGTTGGGCAGTGTTGGATCCACTAGCTGAAGCTAACGGGCCGCTGTCTGTGGATCTTCATGGTCGGTATTGCGCATCTTATTTTAGTTGCGCATCTAATTTGTACAGTAGTTTATACACACTGTACGCCTGTCACTTCAATAAACTGCTTACCAAGAAGGAAACACAAACTGATGCAAATATTCTTTCAAACAAAACCATTAAACGTTCATTTATTTTATTTTTTTACAACAAAAATATAAGAAATGTATTGTAACGAACCTGTATTAAGTTAATGTATTTTCATTTATTGTTAACAATCAGCTATCGCTATTTCCTTTTTAATTACTTTCATTATGCATTATAATAACCTGAACACTTTCCCTGTCAGTGCTATATATTTCTACTTTCATTTGTTCGCACTTGTATACATGTGAAAGAAAGTTAATGAATGTATAACATTGTACAAGAGAGGTTCAAATGCAAAAATGCGTGCCCTTATTTCATATCAATAGTCATACTTGGAAAAAGAGAGGATATATATAGAAATAAATCATCATTCATCTAAGTGTGTATGTTTTGGAATAACTGTTATGTAGAGAAGGATGTACGTTGTTCCAAAGAATGTCTCCTGTACAATACAGTTTAAAAATAAACCAATCGGGCCTTTTGTTTTCTGGTTAAAATGGCTCCTATGAGGCCTATAATCCTGTGTCTAAAGGAATTCTAGACTTGGATTGCGACTGTTTTATATTCACTTGAACCTTGACTTGTAAAGAAAAGTATTGGTAGTTAAGATTAGATAAGGCTGGATCTTAGTGATCGTGACTATGGGGAAATGATCTCGCTGCTACATCAACAGAAATAAACACAAGCTAACCAATTGTGGGAAATTATGCCAAAGCTAGGCTGTAGGAAGTAGAAAAGCTTAAGTATTTTGAATCTACAGATGGTTGTGTACAGGAAAAAGAGGGCTGCAAATCATATGATCATAATGATTCCTCAGCATCCCCCCCGCCCCCGAGGAGGAGTGCTGCGTGTCATGTGCTGTCTCGAATGCAGACCGTATAGACATTTGTAAACCTCAGCACATATTTTAGAGACAGACTTGGATATTTCTCATATCTTGGTTGCTGTTATTGCAAAGTACAACCTGTTTTATTGATAGAGTGCGATTAAGGAAGTGTGTAAGGTTGTTTGCTAGTTAATTATTATTCTGAAATGCCCTGTTATCTCATCCTTTTACGCCCTGAGCAAACACAGTGTCAGCCTGTGCTGCTCTGCAGTTGTGTTCCTTTTCCGTCTTTCCTGTCTCATTATTTCCTTTTCATTGTCTTTTATTTTCCATTGACACGTTGCTGGTAGATAGCAGTTTTCTTCTCCTGAGACTGCATTTTTCTCTGTGATGAAGTGAGTTAAACAAAGTCAGAAGACCTGATTGAGTGAGTTACGGAGCAGCTGTGACTCTGCGATGTGACTTGTATTTTATATTTCTACAGAAGAGCCTTTGTTTGAAACCAGCCCTGCTGCTTAAACGCTTAATTCCTGACCTCACCCACATGGTCATCTTTCTGGTGGCGATGCAAGACTGTTCCCTCTGAAAGAACTTGCGTAATGTTTTTATACTTACCGGTCACAGTTACAGACACTTGGACACACCTGTGAGCTGGACTTGCTTAGTATTCATATTCACAAATGGACTTTGGCCTTGCAGTTCACGACACAATCTTTGTATCAGTCCAGTATTCCTTCAGGCTGACCTTAAATAAGGATGTACAGGCTATAATGACAGAGTCGGACAATACAATAATTTTCAGATGACATCACGTCTTGACTCTTCCACCACCATAGCTATCACCTTGTTATGGCCACACCTTCTTTTTTTAATCAATCGTATTTATCAGTTGACCTCGTAAGGAGTTTTCCTGCCGTGTGTGAGAGTCACATGACGCCCTCTCAGGCCTTTCTTCAGCCTGATGTCTGTATTTACTGTAATGAAGTCGTCACTTGTATGTTAAACACAATGGCAACTGTTTCCTCCTTCAGGCAAAAACAATCTCTGAAAGTCGGGCTGGAATTCACTAACAAATACTTTCATTAACAATTGGTCTCAATTTAAACAAAATTGGACCTATTTTATTATCACAGGACTAAGAACCAGCCAACATTTGAAAAGCTGTGTCATTGTTTGATGATATGGAACTTAAAAGTGTAATGTCCATTTAAATGTAAAACATTTTATATTTAGATAATATTTGAATATGTTTTAATGTGCTATTGTAGATGTGGTTATTCGCCTTGGTCCTGTGTAAAACGTGATTTCATATTCTTTCATTCAACCTTATTTTCAAATCAAAAATACATTAAGAGGTCGAGAATGAAGCATTGAAACTGGTGCTTACAAAAGGTAAAAAGACAAAATAGTAAAAACCTAAAGAAAAAAATGCAGCAATAAAACCTTTAAGTAAATTAAATGACAAAACCAGAACAGTTGTAAGACTGAAATTTGACATTTAAAGGAAAACTTATGATTCTTGCTGTGTAGTCTGTAAACACTTTGTGTAGTTTGCTATTTTTATAAAAACATCCACCTGAAATCACCTGTAGCTCTTACCTCAGTGTCACAAATGGCCGCTGCCATGTTGAAATGTAAATGCATTAACTTGAGGTAACTGATTGTTCTTCTCTCCGCAGGCCTCCGGTGTGAAAGTCACAGATGAAGTTATCGCCATCTTCAACGACATGAAGGTCCGTAAGGCTCAGGCGAACGAGGAAGAGAAGAGGAAGAGGAAGAAGGCCATTCTGTTCTGCATGAGCAAGGACCTGAAGAACATTGTCCTGGATGAAGGCAAAGAGATCCTGCTGGGAGACTTGGGCACCACCGTCACCGACCCCTACCAGCACTTTGTGAAGATGCTGCCCCCCGACGACTGCCGCTACGCCCTGTACGACGCCACCTACGAGACCAAAGAAACCAAGAAGGAGGATCTGGTCTTCATCTTCTGGTGAGGGCTGCCTTTATCAGATATTACAGTATGTATGTCCATCATTTAAACATTTGGCTTTAATAATGTTTCTCCATCCAACGCAGGGCTCCAGAGAGTGCCCCTCTCAAGAGCAAGATGATCTATGCCAGCTCAAAAGACGCTATCAAGAGAAAGTTTGAAGGTGAACAACTGTGTACTGTATAGTTTGAGGATGAGACAATGTCTCTTATTGACAATCTATACCACATAAACCATGATGAAGATTTATTACTCACCTGCTCCTATCAAACAACAGTTGGGACTGTTTATTATTATTTTAGCTTATTTAATTAATCTCTATTGTAGGGCACCAACAATTAGCCGACTAATTCGTAAACCGAAGCAGTCGCCAAATTTCATAAATGTTCCATTTTCAGCCTCAAATGTGGAGATTTCCTGCTTCATTTACATTCAATTTGTTTTGGACTGACAATACATGGACTTTGAGGAATTGGGATGGACACTGTTTTCTGATTTCATTATAGACCAAACTAATGAAATGTGCATAAAACAATTTATTATTAAAGAATAATGAATACATTTGAAGTGTCAATTACAGCCTAAGAATAAAGTTGTTGTTTTTGGGGCGGGTTTAGAAAATTCCCCAGATTATGACGATCTGTATTTAATTTGCATGATGGAACATTTATTTGTTCTTTATGCCTTATCCCATTTAACATTTTTCCATTTTATGATTTAGCTTACTTTATCATCTATTGACGCAAACCTTGTTTAATAAAAGTGAAAATGCAGATAGTTTTAATCATTTGTCAGAACACTCTGAAACATTGTCATTCTGACACTTCTTCTTTTATTTCAGGTATTAAGCACGAGTGGCAGGTGAACGGTTTGGAAGATCTGAAGGACCGGCAAGCTCTGGCAGAGAAGCTCGGAGGCTCGTCAGTAATCAGCCTAGAAGGAGCCCCTATTTAAATATCGCCCACCCCCCCTCTCTCCTCTCTTGCTTCGATTGAGGCCTTTCAGACACATCTGTTGGGTTTAGCAGTTCATTCCAGTGTGGTATGGTGAAGGGCAGAAACGGCACTATTTGCGGGACTCTCGGGTGGGATATTGTGGGCGGGCTTTGGGTCATGTGACAGTAAACTAAAAAGAGAGAAATTCCACAAATGACTGTCATTCCAGTTCATGCAACATAAAGAATATGAACAAAACACACAAAAGGAACAAAATTAAGATCCAACAGAGGAAGGAGGATGATGTTAAAACTTAAATACACATATTGTTCATGTTCAGGGTTCTGTTATTATTTTCTGGGTTCCATTTGAATGATTGCAGAGAAAGGGTCAGACAATAACCTTTTTAGTTTTCCAACCATTCAGTCCTGACAAATAATCGTTCCAACTACATTCTTTTTGCCAAACTTCTAGTTAAGTTTTGTAAGTGTGTGTGTAGTTGAGACTAGTTGTAGTATGAACTAATCACAAGTTGTATCAAAAACCTTCTCTGGGGGGAAACCCGGTTAAATATATATATTTTTGCGTTTTGTTATTCCATTTTGTTTGTTTTTGAACATGCAAATTCAAAAATTTGAGTGATTCGTTTTTATTTCCAGTTCAGGTTCAATATCATGGCATTTGATGTAGTTAACAGACAACATTCCTTGTACTTGTTGAAGCGGGGATCTCCTTGAATTAAAATTGTTGGTGTTATGAAGGCCTGATGGGGAGCGATGTGTAAATGGAAGACCAGCGGTCTAAGTTTAGACTGAAAAGTGAATGGTGGGTGTTTTGTATCGTCTCCTTATCTCTAATAAAAAGCACTAAACTACTGACTTGTTTTGCTCTTTTCAACTTGTTGTAGCTTTTTGTGTTTTGCATGTTTTATGTCAGTGTTTTTAGTCACATTTCTGTTTCTTATCTTTACTGGCATCATGATTGTGGTGGAGGGCTTTCAATGAAAAGTCTTACATTTAAATTATCATCAGACATTACAGCACAAATTATTAAAGAGGCCCTATTATGCTTTTTGGGGTTTTCCTTTCCTGTATTATATGGTCTGTAAAGCATATCATTTCCCCCCCCCCACACACACACTTCCTGTCGGAAACACCTCCATTGAACTCCTTTGTTTACTTCCGGAACATAATCACATAATGTAAAACTCGCGCATCTATTGGCCAGCGCTCCAACACATTGTATGTGATGGGCTAAGGGGCAGGACATCTCTAAGCGGTTGACCAATCACATCAGAGCCGGCCAGCTAACCAGATCAGACTGGACTCTGGTTTCAGACAGAGGGGGAAAAGAGGTGCTTAAATACAGACACTGGGTGTTTCTCAATCGCGAGTACGCTTGCTTGGTAGCACATGTCTGCCGAGCATCTTGCTTCAGAAGCGAGTCAAGAATACTTCCTGACATTTGGAAAACAAAGAGTGGAACAGGCTAGCAAGTGTGCAGGTGTGCGTCATGAGAGGCCCCGCCTTACATCTTCCGCCACAGATTTGGGGAAATTGGTCCGTGCGCAAAGCATTGTGGGGATTTTAAGGCCGCGAAGTCTACTCATGTGCACACTCGATATTTCTCCAAACGGAGTACGCCGGGCTCGGTAGATTTCCAAGTATACTGGAGATTGGAACAGTACTTCGGCGGCACTCGATGACGTATGCTTGAAATAGTGGCTCGGAAGCAGCTTTACTCGCGATTGAGAAACACCCAGTGGCCGTTTCTCAATGTCGAGTAAAGCTGCTGCAAAGCTGCTGCAGAGCCACTAATTCAAGTATACTACGTCATCGAGTGGCGCTGAAGGACTGTTTAAATGCCCAGCATTTGGCGCCACTCGATGACGTAGTATACTTGAAATAGTGGGTGTTTCTCAATCTTGAGTAAGCTTGGTAGCACATGTCTTCCGAGCGTCTTGCTTCAGAAGCGAGGCAAGAATACTTCCTGGCATTCGGAAAACAAGAGTGGAACAGGCTAGCAAGTTTGCAGGTGTGCGTCATGATATGAGAGGCCCCGCCTTACATTTTCCGCCACAGATTTGGGGAAATTGGTCCGTGCGCAAAGCATTGTGGGGATTTTAAGACTGCGGAGTCTACTCATGTGCAGCCTCGAAATTTCTCCAAACGAAGTACGCCGGGCTCGGTAGAATTCAAAGTATGCTGGAGATTGGAACAGTCCTTCGGCGGCACTCGATGACGTAGTATGCTTGAAATAGTGGCTCTGGAGCAGCTTTACTCAAATGAGAAACGGCCGCTAGTATGAGGAAAATAAATACCGTTTTGAACCTTAAAGCAGGTAAACATGTCACAGTAGAGGCACAAATATGAACCTGAAAATGTGCATATCCTCTTTAAGTAATATAATCTGCTCATCCAAATTAGTGCTGCAAGGTTTTTCATTATAAACCTTCATCTACTATTTTATATCCTAAATGTAGAATTGAACAATTTGCTTTGTAAAGCCCTAAAATAATAAATGATTAAATATTTAAAAATGCCTGGGGAAACTGGACCCATTCCATTTTTGTATTATTTTTCCAAAAATAATGTGACTACCTCCCTGCTGTTCAGCTCCTTTGATGCTGCAGTACTTGTTCTGACCACAGGAAGGCGCCACAACATCACGCCTGAAACCTCAAAGTCAAGACTCCTGACACAAACATTGTTATAAATCTCTTTTTATTAAAATATATCAAACATTTTTCAAAAAAATAAAATGAACACTGTCTCTCAGAAGAGCGTACTGTCTGCTGAAAGGACAGGAAGCATCACTGAAGTTTTGACTTTTATTCTATGTGTATAATGTTAAGTGTGTATGTACTATGCAGACCAAAGGGATAAACCAAATTATCCTTAAAGAGCTTTTAACATGCTAATACAATTTCCCCAAAGTCAAAACAGAGAGCAGGAAAGATTTAAAGTCAAATGTCAGTAGATTAGATCATCCACAGTAGGAGAGTAATCCTGTGCTACTGACACACCGCCATGCCAGGAAAAGTGTTTTTTTTTCCTCTTATAAAAAGTGGCTTGTGTTAATACTGTGGAAACCCTGACTGTTATTAATCTGAGTGTGGGTGAAGACATATGAAAAGATGCCGTAGTGGTGATCTCAAAGGCAGATTAGTTTAATAGACCCGGAGGTTACACGGGGCAAATTAAATAGAGGAGGGAAATAACTGGATGGAGGCGATCCAAACGTAAAGTCTGTATGGATTTAATGGTGTGATACATAAGATCTCCACATTCAAATCTCTTTATATGACTAAACCTGTGTTACATGTTTTGTTGAGTTGTGTTCTTATATTTCCAACACTTTTCAAACCTAGAGAAATCTGTCATTTGAATCAAGGTAACGGTTTCATACCACCTGTGTGCATGCGTCAGCTTCTAGTGGTTTGCCAGAATAAATAAATAAATCCTAAATTCACTTTTCATCGAGTTTTAAACCACATATAACAACTTTACACCTTTAACTTATCTGTCATTTTCAACAATATATTTTGACTAGATGAAGGTTTTTAGTCTTCGGACCTTAGGAGGACATAAAATGATATGATAAACAAGCTGATCAAACGTTAGTAGCAGCCAAGCAGCGTTTGAGAAACAATGATTTTTAGATTTATTAAGTACTTTTACTGGTTTTAATGACCAAGCCTGTTAGTTTTGGAGAGATGGAGACCACTGTGGGTTATTCTGCTCCTGGTAAAAAACTACTCAACCATGAAAAATGAAGGAATCCTCACTGGAAGAAGCTAACGCAAAGACGGCAATGCTGTTTAAGATATCAACTCCCATCCCACACTACTTCACGATGACACCAAACTCTGTCTTATGCTATTGTTTTTAATTGAGAGACCCTCTAGCGGCAGAAATGTACACATTGTCCTATTTCACTCTTTTTTTCTTCAGGCAAAATAAACCCTTTCACCCTGTATATGTTGTGCTTTTCGGAGTTTTTCATGCTATTCTGTCAAAACGTTCTTTAGTCCTGGGCACAGTCTAATCTGTTACCGTGCACCCAGTAACAGATCTGAGCAAACTTCAGAGGAGTGATGCGCACGGCCACATTGTAATCCCGGCTCTCCCCATCTATCTCCAGCCACTGGTGTCCGGAGAAGATGCCGATGACCTTCCTCTCCCACCGCTCTAAACTGTTGTCCCACACTCTCCCATAAACTCCCGACCCGCTGGCCCCCGGTCGGGCGTCACAGTGCTGGTATATCAGGTCGCTGGACTCCTGTTCCACGGGACAGAATCTGTACACCAGCTGCCCAGATCTGTCACTGTCGAAGCCAGAGAAGTGGATGCGGTGCCCTGCCAGGTCGTCAGAGTCGGGGGCCACCGAGAGGCGCATGAAGGGCCGTCGGTGAGGCCAACGCAGCTCCAGCAGAGCATAGTCAAAGTCCATGCTGACCTCCTGAGGACCTTGGATCCAGCCCTTTGGCACACGGGTGCGCTTCACCCTCACCCAGCGCACCAGAGGCCTCTTGGAGGACGTGACTTTGCTGCCATTGATGTTTGGAGGTAACAGGAATCCCACCCTGAGCTTTCGCGCCCCCTTGACATAATCCTTCCCATCATGCACACAGTGTGCAGCAGTGAGGACGTGCTGCTGAGACACGAGGACGCCGGTGCAGCCGGTGGAGATCCGCACGGCTGTGGAGAAAGGGTAATCCAACAGGAAGTTGTCCCCTTGGATGTTGAAACGTCCGTCGGCTCCGTAGATCTGCCGCCTCACACGTTTGTGCCTGGGCTTCACTCTTGCTCTTGTTCTTGGAGTTTGAGTGAAGGGATTACCCTCAAACTCCTCATCATCACCCTCCACATCCACAGTGGTGAGGGTGCGGGAGCCGTCTGCGTACAGCGTCTCAAAGGCCAGTTTCTCAGAGAGCTGCTCCTTCTGGCCCTCCTGCTCTCCTCTGTGGAAGCAGCTGGAGTTGCAGTGAGTGATGAAGTCCAGCTGAGTGTGAGCGCTGAAGTGAGAGCGGAGGAGAGGCGTCGGTACGTGAGGGACGAGCGTGGGGATGTGGACGGGCGGGGGGTGCAGGAGGCAGAGGGTGAGGGGGAGGAAGAGCAGGTGAGTCAGCAGGAGGGAGATCTGGCTCATCATGGTGAAAACACTGCAACGACAGAAAATAATCACAGGTGAGAAAACACAGTGTCTGGGATTTGGCGACCTCTAGCTCTACACTTGCAGATCGCAACCAACTGAATAACCCCTCCCTTTACAACAGTGCGATAACGAGCATTGGGCCCTCTTAACGGTCAAACTACTTTAGGAGCAACACATTTCAGGAGGCTGCTGGCAAGACCAAGATTCATGGCAAGGAATAGTCCATCAGATGGCAGTAATGCAATACCTGCCGACCGTCATAAAACTAAATATAAGATAAAACCACTTATTTTGTCCTTCAGTGTTCTTGTATAGTAATAATTATTATTTATGAATTCATTGTTAGTTGTCAAATCAGTCGCAAGTATTGGCGTCAAGGCTTAATGCTAAAACATGAACAAGACATTTTTGGCAGATAGAAATATCCCTACATGTATTCTTACTGCTTTCATTCGCACTAACACAGGATTTTCCCTGGCAAACTACAAAGTCTTGAGTGCTACAAGTGTATTGATCCCTGCTCCCATTCACACATGACCCCATGCGTTGTTCATTCAGTGCTCCTGAACATTTCAGGTATGCACTACATGTGTGAAAGGCACTTTTGATTGCATGAATTCCTACATGTATGTCGAGATAACAACTGTGGAAAACATTCTCAAACAAGACGTCTTGCAAACACTTATCCCTCATAAATCTGGACTCTCTCACAGTTGATTGTTGATTGTAAATCACAGCAGTGATTTGTGAGGTCAGCTTGCAAAATCTAATGTTGCAATGCACGCCTGAGTTTGGTGTGGCGAGGCAACAATGAACCACTTGTTCCTACAATATAGATTAACAGGAAGACAGGATTTCAGCCTCATGGAAACAAACAAGCTTTTTAGTGAAAAAGTTACTGACAAATTCCAAAGCAGGAAAAGGAAAAAGTTAAATACCAGAGACAGTAAAGTGGTCACAGACATAGCTGAGAAGTAAACGCTCTGAAAGGGAAAATAACTGCAGCGTGTCATTACTTAATCAAAAAGAAAACATGAGGATGTGTTTTCCTTGCTTATCTGCATTATTGACTGCATAAATAATAGTTTCAGACTGAGCAAGAGGTCGGGGGGTTACATTAAAAACCCTCCAATCTTGTATGTGTCAAAGCTCAGAGGTGGGATGTGGTTCGCCATCAAACATTAACTACTTCACAGTGTGCACGGGGCTTTCAGAGCAGATTAGCAGCAGCAAGGAGATACTTGATCCCCTCTAAAGGCAGTGGACCCGGAGGCACTCATGGCATGAAGAGAGCAGGTGTGTGAAAAGTGAAAATAAACAAGTCGAGGCACGGCGGTAAAACAGAGGATTATTCCTAACAAAGAGCAGGGTGGGGCCGGTACACACACCTATGTGCTGCTTCTTAAATCCCTACAAAGGAGAGAAGTTACTTCTGTAAGCAGGGAAACTACAAACTGACTTCAATGTTGACGTGTCAGATGCTTGACAGTCGTGGCAGACAGAGGATCTTAAGTGGTAAATTGGCTAGTAAAGAAGTGGTAAACTGGGATAAAAGCCTGTAGTGCAATTTAAAGTAATGTATATGTATCACTGTCAAACAGGCTGTTATAAAACATATGCAAAGCCTTGGAATTACTGTGTTTTGAGAACCTGTTTCAGTGTTTAAACCCTTTATATATAGTCTATGGTTTAAACACATTGTTTAGACAACATTTCCAAGCTCTTCTTGAGGTTTTAGAGGCTCATTCTCCTGGAAACAAAAGGGAAATCATCCAGACGACAACCCTGTGCAAAAGTGACAACACCTAAATAGAATGTTATTTTTCACCGCTGTAACCTGTAGAAATGTACTTTAAAGTATTGCATATTCATCCTTTCACAGTCATTATATTGCAAATAGAAATAGAAGGTGAAAATACAAAAGACATGTACTTTGTCAGGTATCCAGAAACACTCCAGTTTGAGGGTCTGAAGCCTATGGACTCCCTGTTCAGCACCTAAATGTGATCTAATCCTGTCTGACATAATGTATGCAGAAGAGTCAAATGAAGTTCAGCGCCCTCTCACATCTGTCATGCAACAAAGGAGCACAAGATCTCTGTCAGATTGAACTGGGAGGATGATTATAGGAATGTTTTGGACCATGAAACAGTATGGAAACACCTGACACCACATACAGATATTCCTCATTTAATAATGATATATATAAAGGTTTTGGTAGAGCAACACATGAAGATCAAAGTGCTGTACAGTAAGGAAATTGCATTAAATCACATGAAAATAGACATAGTATGAAAATATAAACTAGGATATTATCTACTTTATATTTAATCTTTGACAATCATTACACCCTCACTTTAGGATTTAAATGAACCTTTCATCTGGCAGCACAATGCTTTAAAATTCCTTACTTTAATTTATGGAAAACCCTGTAAATATAACACAGGTGGTCTGTCCCATATTTTAGGCACCTAAGTGAAGACAGGACAGGAGAAAAGGGACCCTCTGACTTACTGTATGTCAAATAAAATACTAAATGTAATCCATTACCTCCTGACTAGAGATCGATAATCCGTGTTTACATCCCTCTCAGGTTGTCCTCCCCATCAGACGGGTCCCTCAGGATCAGTCCCAAGGTTTTCCCTCATCCTCTCCGGTGACAGGCAGGTATTTTCTCCGGGTTAGTCCTCCAGAAATTCTTTCTCGTTGATAAGTGAAGCGCCAGGTTGCTTCTGAGTCGCTCTGGATGTCCGGCAGCGACAGCCCTTCTTCTGAAAGCTGCCAGCTCAAACACAGAGACACAAATAAAAGTGTCCCATCTGAAAAGAAGTGTTTACCCTCTCTCTGCCTCACGGTCCTGACGCCCCGCCTCCCCGCTGCTGAGGGGGAAGGAGAGGGCGAGATACAGTATTGACATAAACCTTCAAACACAGCTTTTTCCACACTTTAATTTAGTTTTTTTAAACATAAAACACGTAACAAGTACAGAAAGAGAGATATAGCAATCATGTTTGTGCTACATGAGCTAGCTAGGCTAAACTGGTTTGGTTTTATCTACACTATGACTTTGATATGACTATTAACATTTGTATGACTTTTAGTGGAGGTGTAAGAAGTACTCAGATGTTATACTTAAGTAAAAGTAGAAGTACCAGAGTGTATGAATACTCTGTTAAAAGTCCTGCATTCAAAATGTTACTCAAGTAAAAGTACAAAAGTATGAGCATCAATATATAGGCCTACTTAAAGTACCAAAAGTAAAAGTACTCATTATCCAGATTGGTCCATTTCAGAATAATATATATTATATATTTGGATTATAATTATTGATGCATTAAAGTGTTTATTAAAGCTGGCTTAAATGTGCAGCTAGTTTTAATTACTTTGTTTACTGCAGGGTAGCTTGTGAATTTACTCCAGGTGTAACTAAAGTCTTATTCAAGTGTTGATTATTTTTCACATCATAAAGTAAATTACTTAGTTACTTCCAACCTCTGCAATAGAGTAAGGAAGTGGTTAGGTTTTTCTCAACACTATGACTTTGTTATGACTATTAACTCTTTTATGACTTTTTAGGCATACTATACTTATCTTATACTTATCTAACTGACTTATATTAGTGAAGATTATGCTAAAAGTATTAATATTATATACAAAATATTTTGATTGAGGACCACTTTAGTTTTTTTCAAAAGCATCCATGTCATGTGACCACATTCATACCAGATATTATAACTTCACTGGACAAGTATAGTTTTAGATTTTGGTGCTTCTTTCTATTTTCTTTGAATATTTTTATGAACAAATCAGCAGTTTTTTTTGTTCAAAACTGTTGTTCCTTTTTGTCAGTAGCTTCCATATCATATGATGTAATGACTCATAATCCTTACAGTATTGCCACACTTGGCAAGTAGGACACACATTTTTTAGAAGCCATTGAAGTAATTAGACTTGTGTCCTACTTTTCCAGTGTAGCAATACAATGCTACATTGATTAGAAGTTATTGGGTCATATGACATAAGCTATTAAAGAAAAAACTGCAGAGTTTTCATTAAAATGTTCATATGAAATAGAAAAAGCACTAAAGTCCTTAAAAAAAATAGAAGTGTAATACATTTCTAAATTGATTTGAAGTAAGTGTTTCACATGACATTGAAGCTATTATTATTGACATTATCAATAAAACCATTTGCATAAGAATATTCATATAAAATAAAAGAGGTACTCAACCCTGATTAAAATGAGTGTGTCCTACTTGTCCAGTGTAGTGGTACGATGTTGCAAAGATCTGAACTCATAGGGCAACATGACGTAGAAGCTAGTGACAAAATCTACACATTTTTCAGGAAAGAAACTCCTGAATTTAATTAATTTAGAATTCATTGAGAGAACCTCCATCCCATTCTCCTAAACGCTATCTAGGAAATGCATTGATGGAATTTCTTCAAATGTGGCCCAAACGTCCACGTGGAATGAAGAAAAAACGAATTACAAATGGGTGATCAAAGGTCCTTGATCAAGAATTCACGCACTAAAGATAACAATTTCACAGAAATGTCTAAGGTGATAAAATACAAATGTTTTAGACAGACAACTACAAGGCAGTATTTCTAGTTTACGACATACTATACTGTGACATTTCTTTTGGCATACGAACAATGACATTTTTTCACAACACACCATAACATATTATTGTTACGACACACTATACTAATACATTTGCTTTAAAGACTTTGCCATATAAAAACATCTTTCTGTCTAACTGAAAATATTCAACAGAAAGGTATAAAATGTAATAATGTTGCACTTTTAAGGCATTATACCGTCAACATTGTCAGTTTAGCTGGTTTATGGCATTACAGTAAGATTGAAAAACAAATGCAGTCAATCATCATGACTGCTGACTGTCATTCTTTCCTAACTCACAAGGGTTTATATTTAAGCGTTTGATACTTTCATTTGTAGCCCACAGCTACACCCAAGCAAGATAAGACTTGTAGCTCACATTACAGTATTGTAATCATTATCTGTGCCAACAGCGGTGATAGATAGCGGTGCGGACGCTCAGAGATGGTAGCTGGCAGGCAGAGCACTGTTGAGGCTTGTAGGCAGCAGTGCTCACCTCGCCCTCTTCTGCCTGACCTTGATCTCCAAGAGGTCTTTCCTGTCTCTTTCACTGTCTCTGGGAACATGTGGAATTTGGGAAGCCGTGCAGCGACGCTCCCACAGGGGTTTGGTGCAGCTTCAGGGGTGCTGAAACAGAGCTCCCAGTCACAAAGACAGTGCTTTCAGGAATGCTGAGGAATCTCCCAACAAGGACACAAGTCAGGCTGTCGGCACAATGCTGCCGCTGTTTGTCCTCGGAGCAAATGTCACCCCAGAGGATTCACCTACCAAACCTGCTCCTCGTCCTCTGTAATAAGATCTTTAGCTGTAAATGTTCCTGTAGCGTGACCAGTGCAGTGCTGACAGATTAGGTGTAAGGTATATTCCCACAGAAATATGGAGGGAAATCATCTGTAGCAGGCCAGTGAGGTGTGAATGTGTGACTCTGTAAGCATGCTACGTGTGATGATGGTATCACTGCCTCCAGGAGCGAGCGAGCACAAGAGCTTTCCTTTGTGTTCCCGATGAGGTGTGTGTGTGTGTGTGTGTGTGTGTGTGTGTGTGTGTGTGTGTGTGTGTGTGTGTGTGTGTGTGTGTGTGTGTGTGTGTGTGTGTGTGTGTGTGTGTGTGTGTGTGTGTGTGTGTGTGTGTGTGTGTGTGTGTGTGTGTGTGTGGCAATGCGGAAACCTTGGAAACTTGGCTACTGTTTCTCTCTGGATTCCTCTCTTTCCGTTCGCTCTTCCTCTCCAGACTGGTATATTTTCCAGCACTGTCACATTAAACAGGACAGATGATACTTATTAAAGGATAGTTTGAGATTTGGGGAAATATTTTTTCGTTTTTTGCCAAGAGGGAGTTGAGAAGATTGATACCACTCTCCTGTTTGTACGGTAGATATGAAACCACAGCCAGCAGCCCGTTATAAGCTTTAAGACTGGAAAAAAGGGGCAACAACTAGCCAGATCTGTTGAAACAAGATAACTAAATCTGTCCAAAAGCACTGCTAACACTCACTAGTAAGCATATTATACAGGGTGTTCTCATTTCGTACAATATCTATGAAAACTATTGCCTATAAAGTTATCTTGAGCCATGACGTACCAGGCTGCCTCTAGGATGTCGGGTGAAGTAGCATGTCCCATGTACAACAAACATTTCAAAATTGAGTTGTTTGAGGGGGAGGTGCTGCAGCAATTTCATATTGCCAGCTTCATATTTAGCACACAGTCATGCAAATTATATTTATCCAATTATATTACTCTCAGCAAGAAACAAGAAGCGGATTTTCCCCCAAAAATACAATGACTCTTATTAAAAAAGTGTAAATTATTCTTAAATGATTAATGCATACAACTAATTGAACTTCTACATCCTTTCTTCAATTTATGAAACCACTTCTTGAAACCATTGCTGTTTTGGAAAACTGTGTCAAATCTTCTGACATACGATGGAAACTTCCAAGTACATTTCTCACAATTTGTCAACCTTTGTAAATTGATGTGTAAGCTACTAAGTCTTGTCAAGATTCCTTCTGAAGCCTTTCAGGATCCAGTGTCCCACCTGTCTCCTGTCCGTTGTACGGTAGATTAGCAGCTCCTTGTATAACATGTGCGTAAAGGTTTGTTCATGGTTCATTTTTCAGACAAGGCATCTACACCACATTTTACAGCTTAAAGGAAAAACCTGCCTTTGAAGCAGCTGTTGGTCGTATATCTCTCATTGCCAAAGCCGTCCTGTCTGACATAATGATTCAATTGTTTAGGCTTTACCTGCTTCTGTCACGGGCCAAACTAAGCTAGAGCCTCAAACCTCCCAGCATGCTTTGATTGGTGGACAAGTGTAAATAAACACTCTGGACAGGTCACATTTTAAACTATAAATTCAGCTGATTCTCATGTCTTTTAGAAGGACACAGAATGAGCGCTGGGCGAACATGTCGTCTCCAGATGAAAGGACATTCCTGCACTGAGAATCGACCCGGTGACACAGACACACTGCTGCTCTGTCTTGTAGAGTCATATTTTCACACAGACCATGAGCTCCACGTCAGACACTGTTCTCTTTTATACGTGGACACCAGGTGGGATCGACACAGCTTTTGTCAGGTACGGTATTGGCTGTAAGGAGAAGGCCTTCCTGTCAGTGAGCACAACAGAAGTAAACACAAAAGACTTGCATAGTTGTTATTTATTGAGTAAAGTTGTAGAGGCACACAATACAAAATAAGCATAATACGTCCTCTTTAAGATTGAGGCCCTGAATTTCATGTCAAGTTAACACTTTTAGAAATCAACTGTAGTTGAATGAAGTGTTGTTCAAATCAACGGCATTATATATTAATTTATATATCATAGTACAAACATTTTAAAACAGCTGGGAGCAGCCCAGTGGTTTAATAAAGAGGGAACATTTGATGAAAAGCAGAAGGCTATTTGGATGGATAGGCTTTGGAGCTACTACCACAAAGGCGTGTTCTCCTTTAACCACCAGCCTTGACTTTAGAGTAATTGTTCGATTGTTCTGAGGATCCAACAGACCCATAGAGTCGGAGTAAGAGCAGAGATGTTCTGAATGTACAGGGTCAGTAAACTTCCTCCTCAACCCCGACCCTCAACACCTTAAGGCACTTCTTCAGACCTGTACTCTCACACTTTCCAAGATGACTCATTTAAGAAAACAGAAAAGGGCCTCAGAGACTTTTTCCCCCTCTGGAGAAACGACT